GCCTACCGCGAACACATTGCATGCCAGTCAATAGAGCTGAAACCTAAAGTTTTAGACTTTTAATGTTGAAAAGACTGCCCCTGTCGAACGAAAAGGTTGTGTAGACCTAAATATTCTTGAGCATGTCTCCTCACTGTCTTATGCCTCATTTTCTGACAAGAGCTTTGCAAGCAATTTGAAACATTTAGCTAAAAAAATGAGATGTGAAAGTGAAGTTAAGAGTCTGAAAAGACCTACGTTTGCGTTTTTACCTGTGCCTTCCCTTTCAGCCAAATGAGACAGAGCTTTCCTTCAGTCAGTTCATGTGGCTAACAAGCAGGTCTTGGTGGGTATAGTGTGCTTGCCCCTGGCTTGTCGGGCACAGTTGGGTCCTGACACAGGCCATCCTCAGTGTGAAACTCCCTCACCAGCGTTCGTGGCAGCGGACCARCTGAATTCCGTTGGATTACAGAAATATTTGGACAAATCGCTACATTAATTTAACACCTCGCTAAAATAATTTCTTCTCTATGAAACGCAGGGGGAGCAATTAGACTCGACTRAAAAAGGAAAAAAAAGTGCTACAAACATTTATTCTGTCCTTTTCGCCTTTTAATCTGGATGAGATACGAAAAAACTGAAGGGTTTAATGTGCTATATTGCACTTGGTAGCAAAGTCCATCATAAATGATTTACTGTAGCATCTGGTTTAAGTTTGACCTGCGTTTTGTTTTGACAGTCTGAACTTTCTTACCTCCAAACTCTCCATAATAAGCAGGATCCTGTTCTGTGGGCAGAAATACCGCACGTTGTTGGACAAACGTGTCACTTTAAAGACTTCATGGGAGTCATCTGTGATTTCACGTGAAGACGCTTTAATGTTTCGTCTGCTGTGTCTCAGTGACAGCTGATAAATGTACAGCCTGTCACTGCTGACTGAACAGAAACTAAGCCAGATGTAGCCTGTTTGACGTCTCCGACATGAAAATACGGGACCAGTCGCAGACGGACCTTTACAAGACTTTTAAAGTTCTGTTTTAGGGCTTATTTCAGTCTTTTTTTCTTTCTCTTTCTCACGTTCCCCTTTTAACCCCTGTATGTGGCTAGCCTCTGGTTACTCGGGTTAGGTTAAACAAGCCACCTTCAAAGCCCTATCACCACTGGGGTTGGAAGAGGGTCAGGGCGCAGCAGAGTGTGTGGTTTGAGGCCCTAACTGGAGGGCACAGCTGCCAGCCAGCCAAGGGTTTCTGCCTGCCWTTGGTTATACAAGCAACAGATCTGTGTTGTGTTCTTCTTTTCTCAGTGCAACAAGTACAGCTGTTTGCAAAGACATACCAAATGTCTGTAGGCTATAATATTTCCCTTGCAGAGTAAGTTGGACTGTTTTCCATGAATAATGTAAAACATTCCAGTTCTCTTATGAAAGTAAAGATTATTAAGGTGTTGAGGTGTGTTAAAACCCCACAGCGTTGATGGGCAAAAATCTGAAAATTGAACATCTGTTGTTCAACTGGCAGCTGCACTTCTGAAAACCCCATAGTGGCCTTTTTGTTTCAATCCTTTGAACCCCTGGCCTGGCCATTTTACGTTCCTCCCTCTCTGCCCCCTGTTTTCTTCCCTCAGCTTACAGAAGATGAGTACAGTACGGGCCTCATTTAAAGGGTCATTACTGCTAATCCGCTGAAACAATGAAGAAGTGGAAACAATGTGCTCTCCAGTCCACTGCGATGTCCAGGAATAAAGGCCTTCTGTCTGCTCCACAGATGTATCAGAGATGGATGTACTTGTCTTTATGYTACATGATCTAAATAAATGACTCATTCAAAAGAAGTTCATAAAAACATGAAATTTTAAAAAGAATTTAGGAAGTGAATTTTGATGAAAGTTTGAAACAGTGGCAATAATAGAAACATCAGATTTGAGAATATTTACTTGTAATGTTCTGTGTTTTGGCAGCGACTGGAGTGCCTGTTAGTACTGAACACAGTGAAGTGTGTGTGAAGCTGGGATAGCTTGGGTTCCTCTGTTGCTACTTGTCGTCCCTTAGGGTGCTTGAAGCTTTCCGGACCAACGCTGGATGTGTTTGAACACACAGACCTTTAGTTGTTTTACCATTTGCARTTAATCTTAAGAAGCAGCAGAGGGTGAGGAGTTTTTTTAATAGCCCTAAACTCTAAACATATGTCTGAAGTTGAAGCATTTGCTTTACTTCCTGTTTCATTTTTGAAAACCRCCTTCTGTTGCTGTCTGTTTTTCACATCTGGGTTTTGGAATGGATCACCAACCAGCTGGTTCTTTATTTGTCATTTATTCTTTCGATATGCGTCATCGATGATTTTCCTTGTTTTTGCTCAGATCCTTGCATTGTTGCTGTCATTTTTGTTTGTTTGGTTTATTTTGAACATGCTAACTATATACAGACAATAATTTTAAGCAAAGAAGAGAGAAACAAAAAATGAAGAACCTGCAAGGAAAATTTAAATAAAATTGAAATTATAAAGGGCACAAGTATCACTATATTTTTTTCTTAGTCATTTTCTTGTAGTCCTGCCAGGGTCAAATCTCATCAGCTCTTCTCTTCCTGCTTTGGCGGTGCCTTTGGTTTTACTCTGTCCTAATTAAAGATTTGTGTGAGCTCATTGCTTGCCAGCATGCTGAGTCGTCTTTCCCTCCTTCATTGTGACAGTATTATCATAATCTCCCTTCACATCTCATTGTTTGTACATTCAACATAAAGTCTGACAGTTTCCATATACAGGTTGCAAAACTAGCAAAATATTAGCTGCTCATTTCACTTTGCTGGTCATTTCCTTTATTGGCTGAATGTCACATTACAGCTTTCTTAATAACCGCTTTTATTCAAAGATATAAACTTATTTAAATAACTTTTGCCTAAAAACAAACTAACTTCTGACCTAGTGATAAAAGTGGATCAGGAGAGAAACTAAGTTAGGATGAAAACTGGCCGGATGAAAAAGCAAGTAGCTCGTTTTGCCTTGTCCTCGTGGCTTTGGTTGATCTGTGAGCCCTTAATTAGAATTACCATCTCAGTCACTTGAACAGTGCAGCTATTGATTCCACTGTAGTTAACCACATCAGCAGCACAAGGTTCGAATCAGTCACAACAGTGAACCTACTTTGAGTGGCGAGAAAAGACTATTGCTTGAAATCATTGGCATGTAAAATTGAATTTGTGCTGGGTGCTGCGATTACGCTCGCCGGCCGACTGGTTTATAGCTGATTTCAGGTCTTCCACAGCTTGACCAAAAAAAAAAAAAAAAAACAAACAAACAAAAAAGAAAACCTTGACTTCTCCTTGGAGATGAGTTGTCTATTGTTTCTGGGAAGCTTTCCCGTTTACGTAGGAGGACTTGAACCCACACGGCAAGAGATATTGTTATTGTGGGGGGAAAAGGCCCGTGTGTGACTATCATTTCAGTGTCTGCGTGGCACCACATGTTTGTGGAGTAGTTTGTGTTGCGTGTTGAAGGTTCTGTCCATTCCACAGCAAGCAGAGGGGTGTTTGTCCAAATGGCGCCAATGTTTGCATGGTGCTGTCACAATGACAAGGCTGTCTGGCTTGCACAGCCACTGCATATCTGGAAAACAAAGGAAAGACCTTTTGAGCAATGAATAAAAACTCTTCTTATTGTATTTAGTGTCTTGCTGTGGTGTTATTTGGACTTTTCTCACTTTCTAATCTGTTTCTGATTGGATGATAGGTGGTTAGGAGAGGATTTTTTTTAAGAAGCATTTAGTCTGATCCATCACTTATACAACAAACTTACTGTAAGGCATTGCATATTAAGATTTTTTTTAAGTTTTCCACGATGAAAAGATTTTCTGTCCATCTGGAAATTAAATTAGATTATTCTTTGGCTATAAGAGATTAAGATATAAATAATTAGTTTTGTTTTCATTAAGATTGTCTTCCATATTTGATGTTAAAGTTGCTCTTTTCAGGTTTGTCTTGAGCCCTTTGTAGAAATCAGGGTAATGGCAGGACCACCTTGGTCTGGACCAGGTATCGCAGACCTGCCATTTGTTTTCAGCCCATTAACTCAGAACAGGGAGCAGTATGGTGCCTCTCAGTGGGATTGCTGGCCATAAGGCACTTTATATCAAGCGGTGATGGAGTACTCATTATCACAGTGTCACACTTCATTTTACAGCTGTAGGCCATTCTTTTAAATGTAATATTGTTGCTAAAACGTATCCTGTTAATTAATATAGATTTATTATTTTATCCCTAACCCCATTTTTTTTGTTTGGACTAAATTACAAAATGTCGACGATCATCTGACCTCACATTTGTTAGATGTGAGACTGGGTGTAGTTTTAGGTCAACCATGACTTTGTGAGAACGAAGCACCAAAGTGTTGTGATGACTCAGTGGTCATCTGTGATTGGTGGACAATGGCGCTGGAGTTAATGTGGTGGAACCCTTTCCCCCTCCCCCMCTTCCAACAGAAGCCTGTCATGCTTGACTCCCCAGGGGAGATGATGATGGTGGCGGTGGGGGTTTGACTTTTGAGTGACAGGTGGGAGGTCAGCCCTGATTGGCTCCCGCTGAAGAGCAAGCTGTGGGTGTTTGAGCACGAGCAGCCAATGGTGTAATCTCAGCAGAGTTGGCCGAACAACAGCTTTGTGGCAGAGATGAAGAGTTCTCATGTGGGAGTCTGTGTTGAGGAGGAGAGGTGGGGGGGGAAGGCACGAGAGAAAGTTCAAGGATATTGTGAGAAAAACACCAGAAAATTAGACCCATGGGATCATCTAAGGCGAGCTCTAGACTTAAAGACCTTCACAGCTCAATTGTTGTTCCTTTTGATGGATTATTTGGTGGAATTTAGTTTTTTTTTTTCCACACAAGTTCAGGTAAAGGTAGTTGGATAAGTTTTCTTTTTTTGGATCATCTATCTGAAGTAAATATTCTTGCATGCTCTTCACAATCTGTCTTTTCTCAAATAGTTTGCTTCATTTTGTTTTTGATGTATTGTGTTTCTCTTCCTGTTTCTTCTCAGTCAACACAGGCTGTGAAAGCTGCATGAGTGCAAGTGAGTGAGTGGCCTGGCTGGACCTCTGCTCCCACCTATCTCTCTCGCTCCCTCTCTCCGTTAATCCTCCCGTCGACCCATCCGGCGGCTCGTTGTACCAGACACCATGCTTATCCTGTGGATGTCCTGGGTGGCACTGCTGACTGTGGACTGGACTCCAGGCAGCTGGGCCTTTACCACCACCAGGGCTCAGGGGCTTAGGGGTCGCATCCAGAAAGATCGAAGAAACATCCGGCCCAACATCATCCTCATCATGACCGATGACCAGGACGTTGAGTTAGGTAAGACGCTCTGTCAAACCTTGGCATCTTACTGGAACTCACACTTTAAATGYTATTTTATTCTTTCATCACAAAAGTCTTGTATACTCTTTACTAATATTTTCTCATCCAATCCTAATCAGTTTGTTGTATCTTGGCAGTTTGCACCAGGATTTGTTTATTTTTATTTAATTTCAATCGTGAAAGCAACAAAACAAAAAAAAAATCATTAAATAAAACAGTATATCAAACACTGAAAGAAAAGTGTACAGAAAGAAAGAAAAGCCTTATAATGTCTGCCGTTATTTAAAAAAATAGCTTCAAACAAGTTTGAACAATCTCCAAATTTGAACAAATACCAAACAAAAACATTAGGCATCCTTCATATCCTRTCTCTACCAAGCCTTATGTGGCATCATACTTCCGCAATAAATTTACATTAAATATTAAACACAGCCCATGAGCCAGAAGTGATTAGCCATCTGCTCATTAAAATTGTGAATAATAAATGGTTTTCTCTTAGAAAATAAATGAGCAATTAAAGCGGCTTTAAAAAACAAACAAAATAAAATGGGATGGGATAAAAAAGCCAATTTCCTTTAACTCATTGACACTGTGTTGAAATACGAGTTAAACTTTGAACACTGATCATCTTTGCTGCCTCGCAGGTTCTCTTCAAGTGATGAACAAAACCCGCAAGATAATGGAAGACGGCGGCACAAATTTCATCAACGCCTTCGTCACTACGCCGATGTGCTGCCCGTCACGCTCGTCCATGCTGACGGGGAAGTACGTCCACAACCACAACACCTACACCAACAACGAGAACTGCTCGTCCCCGTCTTGGCAGGCTCAGCACGAGCCGCGCTCCTTCGCTGTTTACCTCAACAACACCGGCTACCGGACAGGTTGGTAAAGACGCAAAAATGCAAACACTTATAACACTGACAAGCATTTWAAAAAATMTCTGATGCCTATCAGTGCAGAGAGCTGTAACTGTTTCACATTATTTTTACGGAAAAGTCRAGCAGTTTGTGGTGAACATCGTTTACCCTCATCTCGCTTCAGGATCCAGACACTCACTACTGTATGAAGTCTTCTTCTAACTGCTCAGCCGTTGCACTTTATAGAACGTTTTTGCGCTAACCAAGACTCCAYAACTTTGCCTGGCTGCCTGCTGAAAGAAATGTAAACACTAAGGATGCCAGGCAGTTGTTGTCAGACTGTGTTTGCATGAGTGATGGGTAGGCGTTCAACTGGGCAGCTCAGTTGGGGTCCTGCGGGCTTCAGTTTGGACCATGTTTTCCTAGCTGTTGCACTAGTTTACAGTTGTCTTTTTTTAGAGAACTGCCTGACCAATCCAAAAAGCTGAGAGTCTCACTTACACACAGATAAAATCACACTTGAAGGAAATAATACAACTTTGCCTGATAGTCAAAGACAGCATATTTAAAGCAACCATGCTTTTTCCTCTCTCTCTGCAGCTTTCTTTGGGAAATACCTCAACGAGTACAACGGCACCTACATCCCACCTGGGTGGCGYGAATGGGTCGGACTGATCAAAAATTCCCGCTTCTATAATTACACCGTTTGTCGGAACGGTTACAAGGAGAAGCACGGTGCCGACTACGCCAAGGTATGCTTTCGCAAAATTTCTCACTAATTTCTTTTCCCTTTATGACTTAAAATAAAGACTTCACCTGACAAATTGCAGGTTCCACTCGCTTCTAAATACAGTGAAGGTCTTTGCTTATGTTGTGATCCAGGCTGGCAGGAATTCTGACATGAGAATTAAAGGGAATAAGCTGAGGCGAGGTGGCGTCGCCTTTCTGAGGCATCCCTTTATTATGACGCACCTCTCCTCAATATTTAGACGGTGTAAAATAGATGTATCTTTATGAGAAGGCAAAGTATTTTGCAGTTGTTTTTTTTTTTGTCTCCATCTTTGCTCGCAGTCTTCTTTCTGTTGCATTGTGCAATTTTGAAACATGATTTCTGTGCTGCAGCGCTACAATAAAAACAAATGAAAGCGCTCAAGAGATTAGGATTATGGTTACACTGTCACAACAGTCGCCCGTTGTTGCTCTGGACTGCACTGGCCGTGAATCTTCCACCCTTGTTTTTACAGGAGCTGTCGGTTTGTTTTCACGGCTCCGTGCCAACGTCTTCTCAGGTTATGCAGTTCGGCATTCACGAGACATCCGTGAGGAGGGCTGATCCAAAAGATGGGCAAATAAATGTCTGAACTGCCATTCCTCTGCCAAGTTGGACTGAGGTGTTAAAAATTACCCACAAGCAGAGGACAGGGGTGTTTACATGACATCTCCTCCGTCAGCAGGTTGTGGTTTGAAACCAAATGGACTTGATATTTGCTATTCTCTGCTCAGAGCTATCAGATGCAACCACTAAGCAAAGAGAACCTCTCTTCAAATTCAGACTTTTCTGCACATAATCGCACAGATGGTACAAGAAGTCACTGCATGCAAATGAGACATTTGCTGAGTACTTAACATTCAATTAGACCCCATTTTATTTTCTGTCTTTGAGAGACTTCTTGATACATTAGGTTTCAAAGATGTAGACGAGTACTTAAACTCTCACATCTTTACCATCCAGCTGCAATGACAGTGTAGGTTCCTTAGGTACTTGGTGTGAAAATAACAAAAAATTACCACTACATTGCTGTCCAGCTCCAAATGGGAAAGGAATACTCATCACCCACTGATTGTTTTATTGCTGTTGGCTAAGCGTTTTCAATGATGCTCTCACTTCCTGTTGACCTGCCAGAGCCCTTAGCACTGATGGTTCAGATGTTTGGAGCTGGCAGCGTTAAAGAGCGTGGCAGAGCGTTGCCGTGTGTGCAGAGTCTTCAGCCTCCATGAGCACGTCGAGCTGCCAGGCCATTAAAACTGGCATGACTATAAAACAAAACTATTAATACAAGCCATTTGAATCAGCCAGCCCGAGTTCTGACATCCCAGGGAAATCACCCTTTCATTCTTCCTCTGGCACTCCCTTTCAGTTTATTTGCCATGCCAGGGAACAAAAGCAGCAAGCCAGAAATGCAGGTAGAACCTTGAATCATTTGTAGGAAACTTGGCAAAATAAAATGAACTCCACCTTCGCCGTTGTAAGGGCTTTTCTGAGCCTAACCTTTTGACATTTAGCTTCATTCATTCAGCTGTGCTCTTTTTGCCTGAGCTACTAAATCTCTTATAATCACAAGGAAATGTATCATCAGTCACTTGAGCTCATTTCCTTTGTCCTGCCAGAGGTCTTAATCTTTGGGGATTTCGTTTTGGCTTTTGTCTTGCATTGTTTCTGCAAATAAATCGGTAAACAAGGAAGAAGAAAATGAAAATGGATTCAACTGAATTGGGCTAAGTGGCAGGAACAAAATGAATAGCCCAGATTGGAGCAAAAGGTAGGAGCTGTCATAACAACATACCATTCGAAAGCGCCAAGCTCTTTTCATCATCAAGTGGTGTCACATTCAATAGTGCAGAGAATCCCTGATGGGGTAACAGCCCATATACAGTGTACACAAGAAGACTGATGAACACACACTCATTTACACACACACAGGCAAGCTGCCAGCTGTTGACTCGACAGATTGGTGCTGTAGTGCACTCAATGGCCCCACTTCATATCCCCACTGGCCCCTCTTTATTTATTTGAAAATGACTGGACGAGGTAAAGAAACATGTCACGGTGATCGAACCACGAAACGAGTTTTTTTTTTTAATCAAAGCTTGCGCTGTTCAGCGTTTGCCCCTCGATTGCACATTTATTTTTAGACCACTCTAGATGTGGGTTTTAGTTTTGTGGTACTTACAAAACTGGACTTGTGTGCTGTTCTTTTTTAAAGGACTATTTCACCGATCTGATCACCAACGATAGCATCAGCTTTTTCCGCATGTCCAAGAAGGTATTTCCCCACCGTCCTGTGATGATGGTCATAAGTCACGCTGCTCCTCATGGACCAGAAGACTCAGCCCCACAATATGCAGAGCTCTTCTCAAATGCTTCGCAGCACATGTAAGTAAAACCGAGACTTACCAAATACACTGAAAACAATATACTAATATTTAAACTGTGTACTTTTGTATCTTTATTCTACTCAAACTTGGATCCTGACATTCCTGTGGATGTTATTTTTGACACTAAGGTTTTTGTCTATACCCTGAATGATCAGAGTATCTTTGTGGCCTAAAGCAAATATGCAAAATTTTAGACAAGTAGTCAGAATGTTAAACCTGAACATAGACTCTGATGACACAGCAAGATTTTATAATGTCTTTTGACTTTCTAAGACTGAGAGACGCCACACATGACAATAGAAAATCAAAGCTATAACAGGTTTGGTCTTACAGTGTGTGGTGTACAGCCAACTGGCAAAATGCAACACACAAATGGATTTCACTCACAAACATTCAGTTGCCAGATGGGAAATCTTGCGAAACCACTTGAGATCAAATGTAAGTTCACAGTAAACAAACATGGCTGACAAGRAAGAAGCAATGGTGATAGTTTTTGGACTGTATTAACAGAGAAATTACAATTTAAAAAGACATCTCCAAAGTCCAGTGAACTTWCTGGTGATCCATAGTAGCTTTTTTATCTTCTGTWTTTTGGATTCCCCTCCATGTTTACATTACCTTGCTTTCTGATTGTCACCTTCTTGGTGATGTGTAGCTGTGTGGTCAACAATCTGCATGCTGGTTTGTCCTTGGAAAACACCACACATGCTGTGAAATTGGGTCAAGACGATCCAACCTGATATCCCTTGTTTGAGATCCAAGTGGTGCTGACGTCCCTCTATAYAGTCTAGACGGGGCAGAGATATCTCCTAAGATTATCTTTAGAGTAGGGATATCCCRATCCAGATTTTTTGGCTCCTGATACAATCMGATTTTTTTTAAAGATTAGTCTTTTCGATACCAATCCGATACCGATCCGATAGCTTTACTTCTTTCCAAKTGGCAAGGTTGGTAGTAATAAAGCGAGCCCTGCTGTTCCCACCATGAGAAACATCCAGTTTGCAGATTTTGCAARATGCAGTTTCAGCATCATTGTTTTCCATTGAAAAGTGTTCCCACACTGTGGACGTGGTTGCATACTTGTGTGCGTCTTGACTTATTAATGGCAGTTGTAAAGCATGATGATGATGAAAACTGTCGCGAAAACTGGATCGGCCCGATCACATGACTAAATCTGATTCTACCCGATTTTCAAACAATGGCCATATCTGCCACCGATACTAAGTATCTGATCAGGACATCCCTTCTTTTGAGCCATCACGATAATTAGAGCATCCTTAAGATTGTCGGAAGGGCAAAATCGGGCCAAAAATCTGCATAATTATCTTGTCGTGAAAACCAGGCATTATATACAACTTTGAATCATGTATGATAAGATTTTGGGTTCATGATTTCAATTTTTTCCCACTGGTACAATTGAGTTTTTACGATTAGGTGCGCCTTACTTATTGACAGTCAGCACTCCCCTCAATCCCTGGGGTTAACAGGTTGTTTAGAAGCTCCAGGGGCAGATGACACGCAGTGCGTGTAATCAAAATGATTCATCATCGCTGAAGGACGGGGGGAACAAATACCGTGGAGTAGATCAGAGACAGCCATTTAGCATTGCTCTGTGCTACAACTCCTGGCACCGGCTSTCAAGATGCACTCCTCCACTGTCAGCTCAGTACTCCCCTGTGCTTTTAGGGTCTTCCTTTCACTTTCTCTCCCACCTAACATCCCTCTCTGTTCACCTTTTTTGTATTTGTATTTCTCTTACTGTCTCTGTGTTCATCCAGCCCTCTGTATTTCCTTGTGTCGTCTCGTTTTCTCATCCCCGGCTGGTTCCATCCACCTCTTCCTGCTGCCCGGTTTAATTCCCGGGGAACTTCCTGACCCTGTCCGTATCAATCAGTAGTTTCTCCCCATGGCTCCTGAGATGCGAGGAATGCATTGTGCACTCAGGAACACCCTTTGTGACATTATTAATTTATTTTTAGCTGGTGCCTCCGTGTGAAGGGGGTGGAGCTGGGGCCCGGAGGGGTATACAAGGATTGCCCCAGTGACTGTGTGTAGGTGTGCAGTGTGTAGAAAATGTGTTGTGGTTACTATAGAGAACATGGGTAGTTAGCATGTGTAGAGGGGGGTGTTTGTTTTGGTGTTTGCTGACTATCTGCCTTTATTATAGATGAGGTAAATCTTTTTTTTTTTAATTGGCAGATGTCAGGAGCACTCGTCTTTGGTGCTGTTCCAGTTTAAGATATGATATCTAATAAAATGAACGTAAGAATTTGGAACAGTTCAGACACWCAATCACTGCAGCAAATGCTAGATCCAGCTAATGTGTGAAAGTCTCAGTGGTGGGAAGAGACAGCGTGGCAGGAAAGGAGGAGCTGCCTCATAAATCAAACAAGCGTCTGTATTTTTGACAGCTGCAATAGCAAGGGAGGGTTTGATGTTAATGTTATTAACATTCCTCACTGAAGGTGTTTTTGCCCAGGTCCTTAGATGTAAGCCAAGTTGAGACATATTTAAATGCTTTTTTGTGTAATGCGGTTACTCAATTGCATGTCTTTGGATCGCAGGGTAGTGATAGTAATTCTGGTTGTCGCTCGACAAATTGCTTTTAGAAGGCTGTAATCTTTGCATGGAGATGAAATGGGTCTGTGTCAGGTTTTGTACAGTCACTCTGGCATTCTGTGGTGTAGGGATGCAGACATATACGTGCCGGTTGGCAGGTGTGACCTCTCCTACGGACTGACTTCATTCCACTGACCCCTGCATTCCTGGTTCCCTGGTGCTCAGGGCCCCATAGCTTGGTGGCCCATTGCCCAGAGACAGGTCTCTTTGTGGGCCTTATTATACCGCCTGCTAGGTGGGTGAAGAGTTCACTTTTCTCACAAAGCGGGCCTAAGGAGATGAGGACAGAAGGCAGCTCAGTCACTGAGAGCAAAGAGGCTCTCATTGCAGGTTTTCACTAAGTTTGAATACTTTAGGCTGCTTCTTCGCAGAAACAGTTTTTGGGGTGATATAATGAGGCACGAAGAATAATCTAACTTCTGCTTCCTTTTTTAGCTCTCAGCTAAACCAAGTGGGTTTTTCAATAATTTTATTTTATAGATACTCAGACTATATGTATCAGTGTTAAAATCTCTATTGGAGCTGTCCATCATTCCTTTGAGATTCACAGACTTGAGTCTTACATACTTTTAGCAGTTTTTCTGTCATAAACATTATGTTTTAAAGATTAAAGTGCATGCACCTAATGCAGTTAAAACCTGGGCTAAATGAAAGCTACAACTGAAGTCAGCGCTAAAGCAGCAAAGTTGATTAGATTTGGACATTTTTTATGTACTTATCTGCTTTTAATCTATGCAACTTTGCAGATACACAATTGTGCAGTACTATCCCCGTACTTTACTTTTAAGTTAATACCACAGGTGAATAGTTTCTCTCATTTAGAAACCCACAGACATGTTTTGATTCTCTSTCCCACTTGCCGTTTACCCTCTCTTGTTATTCCCTTATTTCAAATGACCATGACTTATGAGTTTTTGGTCCAGAGGTTGTTGCAAAGCTTAACTGTGAGGCCCAATATTTTCATAAGCGCGTGCCAACCCTCAAATTGCTCGTCTGGGCCAAGAGCGCAGTCGACCAAGGAGACTCTCGTCTCTGTGTGAGAGGAGAGAGATGGTCGGAGAAGGTTGTGGAAAAAAACGGCAAAGGTGAATTGTTCGGTCAACAAACAGCGTGACTATCGGTGCGTGTCGAGCACAGCGGACAACTGTTGCACCTGTTGTTGAGCAGCAGTTTGTAAAAAGCAGCAGACAGGTGCTTTTTGGCATCTTGAATGAACCCTCAGGCTCTCTGACAGCTCACGCGTAGGCAGTTGACGAGAAAGATGTTCATACTTCCACGTGAGATTATGTGTTTTAGTTAAAATGTATGTTCTGTAATTTTTTTTGCATGGTTTGACTTTTTCTTTGTGTTGTCCTAGAACCCCGAGCTACAACTATGCCCCAAACATGGACAAACATTGGATCATGCAGTACACAGGCCCCATGAAGCCAATCCACATGGAGTTCACCAACTTCCTGCACCGGAAAAGGTTGCAAACTCTGATGTCAGTCGACGACTCTGTCCAGAAAGTAAGTATAGCYAGCACTGTTCTTATTCTAAAACCCTGATAAAGTCCTCAACACATCTTCTGGTCGGTTGTTTTTTTTTATTATTATTTATCTTCAACACAGGTTTATGACATGCTGGAGGAAACCGGTGAGCTGGACAACACTTACATCATCTACACAGCTGATCACGGCTACCACATCGGTCAGTTTGGGTTAGTCAAAGGGAAATCGATGCCTTATGATTTTGATATCAGAGTGCCGTTCTTCCTAAGAGGACCAAATGTGGAACCAGGAGCAGTGTGAGTAACAAGTAAATTGGTTCTAAAAGTTCAAGAATCCATATTTTCCAAATGTTTGGTTTCATTGGTTGTTTTTTATTTATTTGTGTACTGCACAAGCGTTCACCAGCTGTATATAATTTTATATATAAATAAATATATATATATTTTCAGAAACCCTCACATGGTGCTGAACATTGATCTAGCTCCCACCATTCTCCACATTGCCGGCCTGGACACCCCCCCAGACATGGATGGAAAGTCCATCCTTAAGCTGCTGGAACAGGAACGGACTGGCAACAGGTTTGTATGGATCCATCATGTCATGCTGTAATGGCTACTATGAACAATAAATGCACAGTGTGCATGATAAATGCAACGGCTTCTCTTCGTTGGTCATTTACCGAGCAAAAGGCAAAGTTCCACAGCCTAAAGGATTTTTTATTTTTTATTTATTTTTTTGCTTTGGTTGGGCTCAGTGTGGGTTCTGGACTATTTAGTCAATTTTTCCTTGACTTTGGCTGTAAGTCGCTGAGGTCTCGATTTATTAGGGTTTCTGCAGAATTTGTTTGCAAACTGAATCATGTGTTTCTTCACAAAACCTCACTGTATGAACTTTGTACAATGTGAGTTCAAAATTAATGTCCTGTACAAAGCATCTATTGTTGATCTAACTGCACTTAAATGCTGCCAGAGATGCAAGACAAATGGTGTATTCTGTTGAAACCGATGGAGCATTTRCACCTGAACCTGACAAATATTCCACAGGTTAGCTTTGTGTCTGATGTTTTGTAGCAGATGGATCAGATGAATTGCATAAACTTTGTCTTTTATGACGTTATATTTTTCCAGATTCAAGCCCAACCGGAAACCCAAAGTCTGGAGAGACACGTTCCTGGTGGAGAGAGGGTAAGTTAGGGTTCTGTATTCATACATGTCAGCCCCTTCAGATATTTTACCTGTACACAGATCTTCAAAAATCTATAATTTTTAAATTTAATGCTAAAATTTAATTTTTTAATTTTCACAAAAAAAAAATCTTCAGTACTCTGTAGTATTTCCTGTTCTCACATCATGTCATTGCTGAGAACTGAGTTTTGCATTAACCTGACGGTTCAAGTCAGCTTCTTTCCTCGTGGACTTTTCCTTACCACAGTCCTTTTGGAAAGAAACTTAAGTGGAGGAGCTTGATAAAGTCTCAGCTGTTTGACTGAGGTGTTACAGTAAAAATAAACCAAGTGCTCATCTTCTTCAGAGAAACTTTAAATGCATAACACTTTACTTAACCTGCAGTTAAACTGACAAAAACAAAGGAAGATGGATGTCAGTAACCAATCCAAGCTAGATTTATGCAAAATAAACAAAAGCCATCCAGGTTTTTCAAGAAGACATTTAACCCAAACTTGTCACCAGAGGTCGCGTTGCTTCAAACACTCGTTTCCCCGAGCCTTGTTTTCTCTGTGCCGCACAGAATTTGATACAATACACGTTTTGTCACACAAACCCTTTATGTAACCTCTCCTCTCCCTTGAGATGTTTGTTGTAGAAAGTGATACCTCTAATCTGACAGAGACATGGCATTTAGAGGAGATATATAATCCTATCAAGCTCATCTTCAAGATTCAGCTGGCTGTGAAAAAAACCCCCACAATAACTGGTTGAATCTAAAATACACTGAAGGTGTGCATAATCTTGTTATAGGATGTCACCTATTTCCTTTAAGCTACTGTTCTCACCTCTATCGTTTTATCCAACCCTTTAATTGTTTTTTAAATGCTGTCTCAGGCCTCCTGTCTCCTTTCCACTAAATTTCTATAAGTAAAGAGGTGTATTTCCTAACCACCTTAACCGACTGCTCCTCTGTGGAGCAGTTGAAGAAAAGCAGTGCACCTCAGCTGCTTTTCTGCATAAACATGCCTGCAAAGTTCTGACCATTCACACAATTCTTGGCACATAACCTGCAAGGAAATAGTTTTGCCATGGGGTTGTGCATAAAACAGATTTTTCAAAGGTTATGGTGGGGGTTGGGGTTAAATTGGGATTGGGGTTAAGGCTGGGGTTTTGGTTAGGATTGGGGCTAGGTTTGGGGCTGGGTTTTGTTGGTGTTGTGGTTGGTGTTAGGGTTGTGGTCAGGTTTGGGGTTATTACAGTTAGATTGGGGTTGTGGTTGGGTTTGGGGCTGGATTTTGTTGGTGTTGTGGTTGGTGTTAGGGTTGTGGTCAGGTTTGATGTTGTTGTTATGGTTAGATTGAGGTAGTGGTTAGGGTTGGGGCTAGATTTGGGGTTGGGGCTATGTTTGGGTTTGTGTTTAGAGTCTGGCTCAAGTTTGGGGTTGGTTTTAGGGTTGGGGTCAGGTTTGGGGTTGAGTTTGGGTGGTGTTGTGGTTGGTGTTAGGGTTGGTGTTACGGTTAGGTTGGGATTGGGGTCAAGGTTTGGGTTTTGGTTAGGGTCAGGGTTGGGGTTAAAGTTGAGATTAGGGTTATGTTGGGGTCAAGTTTGAGGTTGGGGTTAGGGTTGAGGTCAGCATTAGGGTTAGAGTATCAACAACATTCCTTTTCTTCATATTTACATTGTTTGTTTTGTAGTAAGATCCTGAGAAAGAAGGATGACTCTATCAGCACCCAGCATACCAACAGTCTGCCCAAACACAAGATGATCAAAGCRACATGCCAGCAGGCCGAATTCCCAACATCGTGTGAACAACCTGGACAGGTAAAAGTGTAAAACCTCTGCAAATTAAGTTTTTCTCTGCCATCCTATGAAGAAAACGTAGTCGGTTCCTTGTTAATAATGACCTCCACCAATAATAAAAACAGCCATTTCTGAATGCATCACTTGGTTTATAATTGGTCTCCTTTGCGTCATTTTGTGGTCCATTAATTTGTGGGTACGTTTCCTTTTCATCTCTGCCCATTAATTTTCTGGCAGACCAGCAGCCAGATGCTACACTTTTGTGGCGTTGGAGCAGACAGGCCAGAGCGATGTACAAATTGTTACAAATTTCAGTGTTAAATGACGGGCAGAGATTCTGAGGGTCTGACTAATGCAATCCAGATCCACTTTATGACCACRTTAACGTGTGTACGCAACAATCACTTATTAAAGGCAGCGACTCGGGCTGAGCTCAGGCGTGCGTGCAGGGATGTGCGTGCAGAGTTTCAGCTGTAAGTAATAAACCTGAGCTTGACTCAGGTCTTTYTGTGCTTTGCCACTTGTGCTTCATGTTGCATTATCATTCTGAGAAAATAAAAAACAGCAATCGTCCCGAGTTGATCTGGAATAATAAATCCATACGGTTCTCAAGTAACATTTGATGGAAGGCAAAAACGTTTCAAAGCTCCTCTTTTTAACCTCTCTGTCTTTGTCGTTTTATCATTTCCTGCCGTYGCACTGCTGCAGTGATGCTGCTGTGTCGCTTTCTGTCTTAATGGGTTCCARCACTCTCAGAAGGTGGATAAAGGAGGATAAAGAACGACAGATTTCTTTTCATCCTGTAGATACAATCCATGCCTCTCTTTTACATGGTGTCTGACRCTGACATAAACGGTCTGCTGGTCCTGTAAGCTCCTGCAGAAGAAACTCGATCTGCTTTACGCCTCTTTGTTTGGACCCTTGTTCCCACACTTAGCGCTGATCCCTTTCCACTGCACTCGGCAGATGTGTGTGTGTGTGTCTAGTCAAAGCAATTAGCCTTAAAACTTTCTTTTCCAGGAGGAATGTGTGTTAAGGACACGAGCGATTGAGGTTGCCTCTTTGTTTTACCGACGCCAGACGAACCAAATTCATCTCATGTGGTTTTGCTTTCATTTATTTTGCATTTTCTTTCRGAGAAATCCTCAAATAATACAGCAAATTCTCACAAAAACTAACAGGACAAATCTTTATTGCACCAGGAGTGTGACACTTTATTGGATTGTACACGTATTCAGCTCTGTCCATTAAAAAAAGTGTTAATGACATTATTGTTCACCTCTCTGCTTTGGGTTTGTCGCAGAAATGGCGCTGTGTGGAGGAGATCTCGGGGAAGTGGAGGTTGCAGAAGTGTAAAGGTGGTTCGAAAGATGGCTCCAGGAAGAGGAGCCACAGTCTGAAGCCCCGCAGCAGCTATGACAAGGAGTGTGACTGCGAGGACCCTCTGTACAAACCGTCTAAAGCCGATCGGCGCGCCCAGCGGCASCTGTCTTCATCAGGCCAACGTGAGTTTACAACAACTGTTGAAATAACAAGTCTTCTAAACAAGGCCGAGCTGACCGAGCTATTCATGTATTTAGGTTTTTGTTTTATTATTTCAGTGTAAGAAATCCCACAGCTGTTTTGGATTTTTGCTTGTAGAATGCAGTTTTAATRTCATTGCTTCAGTACCTCTTGCAAAATAATGATTTGCACAAACAACCTGGGACTTGTTTTATCTTTTTAATCATTTAATTCATTATTTATGGTTTGAAAGCAGTAAGGTATTTTTGAAAAGCAGACATCACAGGTCTAGTTGTTACTTGATGATGTGTTTTACAGCCAAGTCTRTATTTTCAGGTAATTTGGCGCCCTCTAGTGTTGCTTTGGCCAAGTCTCACTATTATCAGTTAATTTAATCCTTAACTCCAGATATACTGTGTGGATGTTTACCACTAACTTATAAATGGTTAACTCAATAAATAAAATACTTCTCACATAAAAGGCACTTAGCATTTAAATGAATGTGAAWGGATGTGTGTCACCTTCCTTTTTTGATGCCTAGCTACTACCAYCACAAAAAATGTCAAAACGTCTGGTTCCTTGGAAGCAGAGTTGAACAAAACAGCCAAATACTTTTGCACAGAAGYGTTTTATTAGACGCAGCTCAGCTCCAGTTTCCCTGTTTCCCCAACAGGTTTTCGGCCTCGTTTCGTCCACACGCGCCCCGCCAGATCACTGTCCGTGGAGTTCGAGGGTCAGATATACGACGTCGACCTGCAGGCGGACGACCAGTCAGCCGTCCGCCGCCGCGTCATCTCTAAACGCCACTACAACCCCGAGGACTCGGAGTTCAACTTGGGCTCTGACGACGGCTCGGAGGAGATGCTGGCGGATGATACAAACACGGTGGGATACCCCACCTCTCTGAAAGTGACCCACAAGTAAGACCACCATCCTGCATGGAATATTAAAAATCCTGTTTTTGTCTGGAGTGGCGTTTGACTTTTTATTGTTTTTTTTTTTTCTTTTTTCTTTTTAGATGTTACATCCTGATGAATGACAGCGTCCACTGTGAGCGAGAAATCTACGAGTCGTCCAGAGCCTGGAAAGACCATAAGAGCTACGTAGACCAGGAGGTGAGCAGATGTCTGGTGGAATTCTGCCAGGAACGTTTCTGGCAGCGCTGACYGCGTATCGTTTTTCCCTCTTCAGATTGAACAACTTCAAGGCAAAATCAAAAACCTTCGAGAAGTCAAAGGTCATCTGAAGAGGACGCGCCCTGACGAGTGCGACTGTGGAAAGAGGTTAGTTGCTTTGGGTTTCACCTTAAAGGTTAGGCTACTGAAAGGCGGAGATGAATGATATTGTTTTTTTCACTGGTCTGTTAGGATAATATCTCGTGAACCAGAGCATGAATTTMCACAAAACTTGCAGAAATTAATCATTAGATGTACATCTAGAACTGATTACCTTTCAGAGTCAGTATTATTCAAGATGGTTGCCACAGCCAACTGAGCTTCWAGAACCCAAAACTGATTATAACTGAGTCTGTTTTATAGACACTGACCTACAATTTGGTGTATAAGTAGCTGAGACTGGTCCTCAAAACATATTCTAATCAACAGCAGCAGGTGTAAGATCTTTGTTTAAGAATTACCCATAAACCGTTTAGATTCCCCTTTGTCTGTTAGCAAAATTTCTACCAAACTAYTCAACAGATCTTAAGGAAACTTTATGGAAATAAGTGTTCGGTKTAATTCTACAACTGATTAACTTTTGGAGCCAATTCAATTTAAGTTGGCTGCCACAGCCAACTAACTGTAGAAAGCACTAAAAAGGTGTAACTGTAAATATACAGATATTTTGTAAAACTTCACAATCGAGTGTGATACCTCTTAATGTCACGTGAAATTTAACATTTACAAGGTTTAACCAAAATGGTTAAAACTTTCATTTCTCATAAGATGGCTTTGCTTTAAAACTCTGGTATGCTTTCCTTTGAGAGAAATCTGTCCTTTATTTTGTTAATATTATTACCAAAYGCAAGTTTTTTATAGCCTCATGTCACAAACAGATTTTTTTTCACAATTTTTAATATTTGTCTCTGTTTTTAAAATCAGCTATTACAACAAAGGAGTCCRAAACAAGGCAGAAAGACTGAAGAACAGGAACGATCAGCTCCATCCGTTTAAGTGAGTTTTCTCTCCTCCTTGAATAATAATTTTGCTCTTCTATAATCTGCACCAGTAGGCAGGTAGAAACTGTTCAGATGTGTTTGTACAACTGTGCAAACGTTGCTCCAGTTCTTCTCCTCTCTGCACGCCAGAGCACTTAAAGCTTATATGTCATCGCTGACCAAGACATCAGAAGTGTCCGTAGCGTGATGTGTTGATGGTGTTTATTACCCTCCCAGGTTTCTGAAGAAGCATGCCATCTATAAATTTTATTCGATGCTTTTGTTCCCGAGCAGAGTTTAAATGATAAAGCAGATGYTTGGCCATGAATCTGTTTTTTTTTTTGTGTGTGTGTGCRTCTGGAAGTGATYGAGCTGCGTGGAAAAATGAAATGATTCAAGCAAAGTGGGGAAAAACATTGAGTCGCTCAAAAACGCTGTGATCAACTTGCACAAGGGAACGCTGGAAACACAATCACACCAATGCAAAGCAGCTGTTCTTCAACGTTGCCTGTTGTTTGTTAAGGCAGGAGAAAGGAAGAACGGTGGCTCGAATGTCATCGTTAGGAAAGCTGGCCACAGGAAGAGTTTTTAAACGTAAACCAGGCTGTCGTATTTCGGCACAAGTGATGCCTTCTGGAAGTCCCCTTTGAGTCTTTCATTACCGCGGTTACAGTCGGCAGAGCGGCAAGGGCCTGATGTCATGTTAAAGTCATAATTTCRGAAATTCTGTCATGTTTCTGTGCGACAGGGAGGCCGCCCACGAAATCGACGCAAAGGCCCAGCTGTTCAACGAGATCCGGCGGAGGAAGAAGGAGAGGAAGGAGAAGAAGCGCCAGAGGAAAGGAGACGACTGCAGCCTGCCGGGCCTCACGTGTTTCACACACAACAACGACCACTGGCAGACCGCCCCCTTCTGGACACGTGTGTAGACTCAGTCCCGGAGCTTCTCCAGTCACCGTGACCATGACCCATTAGTGACACTGTTTATTATTTTCTTGCAGTGGGTGGGTTCTGTGCGTGCACCAGCTCCAACAACAACACCTACTGGTGCCTGAGAACCATCAACGAGACGCACAACACGCTCTTCTGCGAGTTCTCCACCGGCTTCCTCGAGTACTTTGATCTCAACAGTGACCCCTACCAGGTGGGTGCAGATCAGTCTGATGGTTCTCWGAGGCCTTCTGCTTTGTCTCACATGAAGCACATTTATTAAAGGCAGATGCTGGATTAGAATATTTATACTAAACCAGTGAATTCATAGAGACCTAACTATAAAGTAGGGCTGCCATGATTAGTCGACTAGTCATGATTATTGTCGACTATTAAAAATGTGGATAATTTATTAGTTGATGCATCGTTTTTTTTCTTCTAAGTTTTCTCTCCAAGCTGCTGCAGCACCTTCCACTGCCACGTCTGCCTTTCTGTCCTTGACACACATGTGCAGTAGTGGTAATTAGGGCTGCTACAAACAATTATTTTATAAAAAAAAATACAAAGTTAGAAAAAGACGCATCGATTATTAAATTAGTCGTTGACAATTTTAATAGTTGGCATAACCGCGACTAGTCAACTGATCGTGGCAGCCCTACTATAAAGTTTTTCTTATAAATTTGTTTCTCTATTGTGTATTTGATTGATTTTTGTGCCGTATGGTTCGCAAAGAAATATGGTTTAGAGATATCTGTGGGCACTAACTGAAATGCACTTGCAGTTGAACATGCAAGGAAGCAGTTAATAAAATAACAAAGTGAGTTTTTGTATCTAAGTTCACCTTTCAGCAGCACATAAAGACCAGATTTAGCTTTTCTAAGTTACCTTTAAAAGTAAAAGCTGCTGTTTTTTAATTTTTTAGGTTTAAATTAGGTTTGTGATTGGTAATGAAATGTGCTGAAATCCTTCCAAATGCGATATTTTAATACTTAAATGAGTTGTTTTCTTGTGACTGGGTCGCAGCTGAACAACGTGGTGTTTTCGGTGGACCAGGAGGTCCTGAACTCGCTTCACGCTCAGCTCATGGAGATGAGGAGCTGCCAGGGCTACAAGCAGTGTAACCCTCGTCCAAAAGGCTTGGAAGCAGGTGAGAACAGCCCCCTTCCCCTGGTGTCTGGGTGGGACGGTGGGACAAACCAACTGGTCGTAGCGGTAGCTCGTTTTCCTCACCAATGACTGAAACAGATTCTGYTTAATGAATCGGTGGTTTTACGTAGAATAAGGTGAAAGAAAAGCAGCTGTAATCACTCTCCTGCTGAGTCTGTTTCAGTTTGGATGGTGTGTGTTTGACATACCTGCATGTTGCATGTGTTTGGGAATGATCCACTCATTAATGGATGCCTAAATTTCAAATAAAGGTTCTATTTTTTTAATACTTTACATACTGAGATTCTGATTTTCTTTTGTTTGTGTTTAACATTTTGTCCACTATAACGCACACAAACAGTCCGACTTCTCTTTCAGCTCTGGATCTTCTCTCCCTGTGGGAATTTCTTTCCTGATTTGTAAACGGTGCAAAAATAGAAGTCTTACTGGCGATCTGCCCTTTTGTGAGTCACTAAATGTTTTACGCCATTGCTCCATTTGAGCATCATCCCCCTTTTTTTTTTCTTTCTCCATAGCAAATGTCCGAGCATCCTCGAGTGCAGACGCCGCAGTGGTGGCGGTGGGTTAATAATTCACATCACGGTGATGTAAAACCCCGCAGACTTGCTGTGTGGCATGAACCGGCTGCTCTGTTTATGACCTGAGCAATAAAAAAACAGTTCATGTCAAATATTACCGGTCTGAGAGTGCAGCCAAGGTGCGCTAAGAAAATACAATCTTTATTTTTTTATTTCAGTCTCGGCCTGCTTGGAGCAGAGTCCAAAGCCCGCCAACCCATGTCCCAAAACAGCCGAAAATCTTTTACTTCAATCGAACAAAGCGCCAGTTCTTTAAACCAGTAAAGCTGCTGTTGTGGTTACACTTCAGGATGTTTTTGTTGGCGAAAAACCTTTTTTAACCTCATGTTCTTGCTTTGAAGGAGAAAACCTGTTGAACTCATCAAATCCTTTTTTTTCTGTATTTTAAATCAATTCATTCTTTTCTTGTTTTCCTCTTTTCATCTCCGAATGTCTTTCCTTCTGTATTTCTTTTTTCCCCCCTCATAACTTAAGTTTCTCTAGCGAGTAGCAGCCGTGCATGAAGAATGCCTCAGTGTGACTGATCTGTTTCCCCGACATCCTTTTGAGACAAAGCATTAACAATCGATTGCTTTTATTTTTTCCGATCAGGAGGTAAAGATGGAGGAAGCTATGAGCCACACAGGTATCCGCCAAGTTTTGATTTCTTCCTCTTCAGCAGCTTTTGTTTTGTTTATTTTTTTTTCTTTAACACCTGCATGGGCCGACTTGCATCAATCCCACTAATCCATCCATCCATCCATGGAGTGCTGATGCTTCATCTGTGGCTGCATGCTGGGAACATGCTAACAAGTTGTAACAGGACCTTTTTTTCCCCCATCTCTGTGCAAACAGTCTATCTTCACCTCTGCTGTGCAACATGAGTCTGCAGTCATTTAAACATGCAATCAGCTCTTCAGATATGAAAAGAAAAAAAATCCAACTTTATAATAAGAGATGCTGGTTTAACCCAAACATTCAGTGCACGATTTTTGCATCATACTTCTCATTAACTTGAGGCCAAAGCAGTAATCCAGATCTATTACATTTGGGTTCCGTAGAAATTTCAAGAACTGTTGTAGATATCTCTTTGATTAGCATTAATTTGGATAATTWGCTTTTATTTTGACCAGATTTACAAGCTAACTACTCTGAGTAGACCAAAATGAATCGCATGCTGTATTAAATCAACTCTAATTGCAAACATTTCATCCTGATCCATGGAAATGCTAAGCTGAGGCTATTCAAACTGTTATCTACAGCAGATRAGATGATATTTGTTATTAACCTTTCCACACAAGCCCATTTCAAAAGATCTGAACTATYGCTTCGAGGAACAGGTTGACTTTTTGGGGACTAAGTAAATGAGATGACTGATATCACTCTCCTCTTATTTTCGTTAAATGTTGTCGCTGTAGGACTGAGATCTTGTATCTCCAAAAATTAAAATTCCAACTTTTCTTTTTTTAAATAATTAAACTTTATTTGGTTGCAAGCTATTTTTCATGGCATTTTAATCCATAAAACCACAGGACCCTAAAATRAATTTATGCAAAATTGAAAAAGGGTAGATGGATAGATAGATGAGTGAATAGAGGGGTGGATAGATGGGTGGGTAGATGGAAAGATGGGTGGGTAGATGGATGGATAGATGGGTGGATAGATGAAAAGGTGGGTGAGTAGTTGGGTGGATAGATGGGTGGGTAGATGAAAAGATGGGTGGATAGATGGATGGATAGATGGGTGGGTAGATGGATCGATAGATGGGTGGGTAAATGGTAGATGGGTGGGTAGATGGATAGATAGATGGGTGGGCAGATGGATAGATAGATGGGTGGGCAGATGGATGGAAAGATGGGTGGGCGGATGGATAGATACATGGGTGGGCAGATGGATGGAAAGATGGGTGGGTGGATGGATAGATACATGGGTGGGCAGATGGGTGGGTAGATGAATGGGCAGTTTGATAGATAGATAGATAGATAAGAATGGGTAGAAAGATGGAAAGATGAATGAGTAGATTGATAAATAGATGGGTTGGTAGATGGAAAGATGGGTGGGTAGATGGATAAATAGATGGGTGGATAGATGGTAGATGGATAAATAGGTAGATGGATAGATAGATGGTAGATGGATACATAGATAGGTAGGTGGATAAACAGATGGATGGATAGATGGTAGATGGATAGATGGGTAGATGGATAGATGGATGGGTAGATGGATAAATAGATGGATAGATGGGTGGGTAGATGGTAGATGGATAAATAGATGGTAGATGGATGGGTAGATGGATAAGTATAGGTAGATGGATAAATAGATGGGTAGATGGATAAATAGATGGTAGATGGATAGATAGATGGTAGATGGATAAATAGATGGCTGGATGGATAGATGGTAGATGGATAGATCGATGGGTAGATGGATGGTAGATGGATAAATGGATGGCTAGATGGTAGATGGGCGGGTAGGTGGATAAATAGATGGGTAGATGGATGGATAGATGGTAGATGGATAGATAGATGGTAGATGGATAAATAGATAGGTAGATGGATGGATGGATGGATGGATAGATGGTAGATGGATGGGTAGATGGATAAATAGATGGGTAGATGGATGGATAGATGTAGATGGATAAATAGATGGATAAATAGATAGGTAGATGGATAGATAGATGGTAGATGGATAAATAGATAGGTAGATGGATGGATGGATGGATGGATAGATGGTAGATGGATGGGTAGATGGATAAATAGATGGTAGATGGATGGTAGATGGATGGATAGACAGACATGCTTGCATACATACATGGGAGGATAATCCAACATCTCATCAAATCTTTAATAAAATCCCAACTATTGTCCCCAAAGTGTGAAACCTTTCCTTTTCCACATCTCACTCCATGTAACGTCAGCCACATCCAGAAACAAGCAGTCTCCTCGCAGTCTGTTCCAGTTTAACACCAGGAGTAGCTCTCATATCCACCCATGGCCATTTGTTAGTTAGAAAGAACACGCCTGACCCCACGCTGATCTCTTGACCTCTCTGGCACCTGCTTACCAGGCGRCAGCAGCATCGAAAGTGGTCAAAGAGGAGACCGAGCCTGTCCTCCCTGTGAGTCTTTCACTTCATGTTCAGTCATTTCTATCAGTTGTAGTTACAGGAAGTCTGATCACACAAGGACAGCTGCCCCACAAAAATGAACCGATGCACATTTTTCTTGCAGACAATCATTTCTTATTTCTGCTTTTGCTGTGGGGTCACTTTGTTTCTTTGTTTATTTTATTTGTTTATCTGGGGATAAACCACTTAGTGGCAACTTAAATTTCTTGTATTTCTAAGCATTTTCTTATTTTATTTATCCCTTTTTAAAATTTCCTTTGCTTTTTATATTCCAGGTTATGCGACTTTGCATTTTATGTAACTTTGCCATCATATATTTAATATGCTGCTTAGTGTGTTAGTCTATGATGGATCCTTAAATGTTTTCTTTTTCAGTCTATTTTTCTAATGCAAATTAGCAAAAAGGCAGCATGTTTGCACTTCTCCTGGCTTGAGCGCAGTGAGTGTTGTGTCTTCAGCTGCTTTAAAGTGTGTGACTGTGTGTGTGTTGCTTGGGGCCAGAAACYCTGCACAGTTGGCTGCTGTTGTCAGATCCAGAAGCTGAGYTGCATGATGTCCTTTCTGCTCCACRTCCYWAA